CTCGGGAAAAAAAACCGGCCGAACTCACGAATTCCGCCAGGCTGGTGCTGAACAAAGCAGAACCAGCCGGCAGCCTCGCAGTCTGACCACAGGGACGCACGCAAGCCGGGGTCCGGACAATGCGCGGCGCTGGAGAAACACGACGGCATGCATCACGCAGCCCCGGCGCTGTCAAACCACCCGGCACCGCGCCGCAGCTCCGCTCGTTCTCTCTCTCTCTCTCCCCCCCCCTCCCTCTCTCTCCCCCTGGTTGCCCGGCGACGGGGCTGTCACGTGGCCGGAGCGGCTGGCTGCTTATTCTGGTCTGTTCGGTGTGGTGAAGATGGAGCTGTCGGCAGTCGGGGAGCGCGTGTTTGCCGCCGAATCCATCATCAAGCGCCGGGTCCGGAAGGTGAGCCGCTGCCCCCGCCGGGCCGGGCCGGGCCGAACCGAACCGAACCGAACCGGGCCCGGCTGGGTGGCGCGGGGGTGGGCATGCCTGCCTGCCTGCGTGTGTGTGTGTAGAGAGAGAGAGGGGGGTGGGTGCACGGAGGGGAGGGGACAGCAGCCCCGAACCGTGCGCGCACGGTGCAAGGAGAGGGGAGTTGGGGCTCGCGGGGGAACTGGGGGCCCCCCGGATTGTGTGGGCATGCATGCTGACCTGAAAACGGGCAAGAGAGACGCGGGGGGGGCAGAGGGAGAGAGAAGGACGGGGGGGAGGGAGGTGAGAGAGAGCTGTGCGAGCAGAGAGTGAGAAATGTCCTTATTTGATCTCACCGGACGGCCGTGGGATCTTTTTTTTTCCCTGTGTGTCTCTCAATTGTCAGGGGGTGCATGAAAAAATAAACCCGTTTCAGGCGTGCGGAGCTGCAGCACTGCCCGTGTGTGTCTGTTCTTGTCTCCTGCCAGGGTCGCATCGAATACCTCGTGAAGTGGAAAGGATGGGCGATAAAGTGAGTACGCCCGCAGAAAGCGGGACAGCGGCTTCTCCCGTGCCCCGCCCCCCCCCGCACACACTGACACCGCTCCCCGGTCTCTCGCCGGGGCGACACGGGCTCCGTCTACTGACGTTGCTGCAGTGCCCGAGTTGAACAGGAAGAGGTACTTTCAAATAATCATGATGCAGCTGCTGGCGAGCAGAAAGGTTCCCGGGGAAGAAAAACGCAAATTAAACATCTAGGAAGCACGTTCTCTGGGGGGGGGGACACACGGCGAGACACGCGTGTG